ATAATTTAAAAAAATAATTATTTTTTAACCTTTTTAAATTTTTTTAATACCTACATTTTAAAAAATATCCTTATTTAGTAGGGCAAAAGTTGACAGCCCTATTGTAGTCAGCAGTTTTTGCTTCACATTTTACTGATTGATGGACAGAGAAAACTCCTAAAGTCTGAGAATTTCAGTCTGATTCATTCTCCTCTTCTCGCATTGTGTGGAGGAGAAGACGGGCGGCCGAGAGACGCCTTGCCAAGACTTGGAGTGGGACACGCTCTTTCCCGGTGTCTCGGTCCTGCTGGCCGAGCATGATGCCTGGCACCGAGGAAGCGCTCCGGGTTTAATGGACCAGGGAACCACAGTTCACGGCCGTTCTTGTTCCGCTCTCACAGCACCCCATGAGATGGAAAGAGCCAGGACTGTGATTCCCATTTAACGGATGAGGTGACCGAGTCACAGATCAGAATCCAGCTCCAAGTCCTGCAGTGAATTAGAGGCTGTGCTTGGGGGCCGAATCCAGGCTTCTCTCCCCAACAGTGTCAAGCATGAATGGAGGGGCTGCTTGGGGTTTAATGAACGAAGGGAGCAGTGGCTTCACTTAGAGTCTTGCCTCTGCCTGTGGACAGCCAGGCCTGCCACAGACCGAGGACCACCTTTGGGCCCAGGAGACCTCCGCAGGGTCCCTCGGCAGGGACATTTGGGGGAGCCCTGACCACTATCTTAAGGTCCTCAAAGGATGCTAGCAGGCTGGCTGGAATTGGGGCCCTGCCACCAGGATTGTTGGGAATTTGGAGAAGGTGGGAGCCAGAGTTTGGGGCTCTGTGTTTGGGTTACACTGTGACACCACCCCACCTCTGTCTTTGTTCCAGACTCAGCCCTGCTGCTCTTCCTGGCCATGCCCATGCTCACGGTGGGAGGAATCCTGTTTCTGATCACCAACCTGCAGGTGTGAGCCCGCCCTGACCCCGGGCACCTGGCTGGAGGTCGGGGAGGGTGGAGGGAGGGAGAAGCGCCGTTCTGCGCGGGCTACCTCCAGTGGGGCCGGCTCGAGCCAGGGCGGTAGCTCCCGGGATGGAGGCGGGTGTGGGTATAATGAGGGCCTGGCACGTGCCCCGTGGACGGCAAGAACCAGCTCAGGAAGAAGTGACGCCTCTGTTCTCTAGGTTGGGAACCTCTTTGGCAAACACCGCTCAACCATCATCACCCTCTACAACGGGGCGTTTGACTCCTCCTCGGCAGTCTTCCTTGTCATCAAGGTAAAAAATACCAATGAGCGGGGCGCCTGGGTGGCTCAGATGGTTAAGCGTCTGCCTTCGGCTCAGGTCATGATCCCAGGGTCCTGGGATCGAGTCCCGCGTCGGGCTCCTGGCTCAGCGGGGAGCCTGCTTCTCCCTCTGACCCTCTCCCTTCTCATGCTGTTTCTCTCTCGCTTGCTCTCTAAAAAATAAATAAAATCTAAAAAAAAAAAAAAAAATACCAATGAGCAACCTGTATTGCACGCTTCCATGTGCCAGATGCTTGTCTTGTGAACTTTGCCTGATTTCTTTCCTTCAAGCCTCCTGCAGCCAGTAAACGTGGCACTTGAACTGGAGCCCAGACCTGTCTGGTTCTGGAGCATCCCCTGGTAGTGATTAAGCTCTTTACACCTACCTAGGATTTCTGGGGAGAGGCTGTGATGCACTTGGGTCGGTGTTGGGCAGAGGCTGGGAGCCCCGTGGAGGGGGGTGTTTGCGCCTGTGAGCTTCTGGTTTGGACTAGAAGGTGAGAGGAGGCCAGTGGGAGCAACAGGGGCAGACACAGAGGCCTCTCCAGCTCTCCCAAAGGCTGGTGTTGGGGATCCGGGGGCTGGGCTGTTCCAGTGCTGTTAACGGCCCCCACCTGACCTGACAGTCTTTCCACCTTCTTCGTTGCTAATAATTCTACCTGGGCAGGGAGGTGCCCAGCCCAGAGGATGAATCCTGATTGACCTAAGCCAACGGGGGCAATCCCTCTCCCCCTCGTTAGTGATGGGGAGAGGTGGTCATATTTTCCAGTCCTTGTTAATGAGATGAAGGGTGTGTATCCTGGAAGAGTTTAGGGGACATTCTCCCTCCCTGATGGAAGGTGAGAGCAGAGCTGAAAGGAAGCCTTTCTCCTTGGTCCCCCTGCCCAGTTTTTCTTTCCAAATGTTGTGGTAGGAGGATGTGATAGCTGGAGTTGTGGCAGCCATGCTGTGATTATGAGGCCACCAGCTGGAGGACACGAAGGATGAGTGAGTGGAAGGAATCAGAGAATGCAGGTCCTGCCCAACTTGGGATTTCCCTCCAGGCTTTGTGTTAGGCCAGAGGCAGTGGGTACAGCCCATGGGCTATGGGGGAAGAGAAGAGGATCTCTGGGAGTCACTACGAGACATGAGACTAGCTAGCTTAGTCCCATGAGCACCTTGGCTTAGAGGGCCACCCAGAGGCTGAGCCCCAGGGGCACTTACTCAAGCCTCTCTACCACTGGTACAAGAGCCAGTTTCCTGGTTCTCCCTCCTTCCCCTAGGTGTGCCTTCCTTTCTCTTTTGTCTCCTTAGAATTGGAAGGAGAGAGAGTGTCCGAGTAGGATCTGAGCTCTTAGTTTAATCTGACCTTGCTGCTTCTGACTCTGACCTTGAGCAGTTCATTGCACCTCTCTGGACCTCACTTTGACCCTCTGTAAAAGGAGGAGGTGGGCTAGATCAATGGTTTCCAAACTGGGTGTTGAGGAACCCTGAGGGGTTCTCTGCGGTGTTAGGTCGGTCACCAAGGAGAATGAGGGGGAAGATGACTGAGCCGCTTCCCGCTGATGTGTTTCATAAGTTGAATTTTTTTTTTTTAAAGATTTTATTTATTTATTTGAGACAGAGAGAATGAGAGACAGAGAGCATGAGAGGGAGGAGGGTCAGAGGGAGAAGCAGACGCCCTGCCGAGCAGGGAGCCCGATGCGGGACTCGATCCCGGGACTCCAGGATCATGACCTGAGCCGAAGGCAGTCGCTTAACCAACTGAGCCACCCAGGCGCCCCTCATAAGTTGAATTTTTGTGTGACGTTTTGTTTAAGTAAAAGGACTTTGCTGCTATTAAAAAAAAATAAAACAAAAAAGCAGTGGGCTAGCAGATCTCTGAGAAGCCACTTTAGGAGAGTCTCCAAGGCTGTGGGGATGGGTGACCATGCCCCTCCCCTCTGCCCCGCCCCAGCTGTCGAACCGTGGGGTGAGGGTGAGCCTATGTGTGCGTCAGGTGTCCTTGATCAGCCTTCAGGATGGAGGGCAAGAGCCTCTGACAGGCTGGGGTCCCAGCGCCTGCTGCTTACACTGACTCTTCTGTTGGGTAAAACACACAGAACATAAAATTTACTCTCTTATCCATTCTGAAGTCTACAGTTCAGTGACATTAGGTTCATTCATATTGTGCAACCATGACCACCATCCATCTCCAGAAACTCTTTGCAACCTTGCAAAACTGAAACTCCGTGCCAATTAAACAGTGACTTCCTATCCCCCACCCCCCCAGCCCCCCAGGCCCAGCCCCTGGCGAGCACCATTCTCTTTTCTGTGTCTGTGACTTGGATGGCTCTGGGCCCCTCATGTGCGTGGCAGCATGCGGTATTGATCCCTTTGTGACTGGCTGATTTCCCTCAGCATGATGTCCTCAAGTTCACACTGTAGCCTGTGTCAGGGCTTTTTTGGGGTGAATGCTATCCTGTCGTATGTGTATGCCACACAGTTCGTTGGCCCATTTATCTGCCAGTGGACATTTGGTTTGCTTCTACCGTTTGGATGTTGTGAATAATGTTGCCATGAATATGGGTGTCATGCTGACTCTTTTCCTCTTCCTTCTGCAGCTGCTTTATGAACAGGGCGTCAGCCTCAGGGCCTCCTTCATCTTCCTCTCAGTCTGCAGTGCCTGGCATGTAGGGCGCACTTTCCTCCTGATGCCCCGAGGCCACATCCCCTATCCACTGCCCCCCAACTACAGCTACGGGTAAGCACTGTGATCTGGCGACTGTGGGCCTGAGCCCTCCGCCTGACCTGTGGTGGGAAGCCAGGGGTGGGACAGATGTGCTAGCAAGGCAGAGGAGACCTGTCCCAGGACAGCAGGACTGGGCCAGGGTGTATCAGTTAGCTGTTGCTGTGTAACAAACTATTCCCAAACTCAGTGGTCTAAACCATTCAGCATTTATTGTTTTTCATGAGTCTGTGGGTAGCTGGCTAGTTCTGCTGATCAGAGATGGGCCTGGATGGTGTTGCAGGGCTCGCTCAGGCCTCTGGTCATCTGCTAGGCTAGCTGGGGCTGGCTGGGCTGGATGGCCTCACATGGGGTTTGTCTGGCAGTCCTTTGGGGTGACAAAGATGTCTGAGTCATGTGGCTCTCCTCCTCCATCAGGCTAGTTCCAGGGTTCCAAGAAACCGTGCAGACGTGCACAGAGTTTCTCAGAATTGGCCCAGCATCACTTCTGCTGCATTGTCTTGGTGGAAGCAGCTCCTGGGGCCAGCCCAGATACAGGGGCTGGGGACCCCGTCAGGGCTGCCAAGACCCAGTGCAGAGGTTGGAGAACAGGGGAGGTGAAGAAATGTAACCGGTTTTGCAGTCAGCACCTCGGGTGGTGGTGGGGGGGGCATTGATTTGTTGCTCACTTACTATTTGCCCATGCGCCCTCTGATTGCATTGCACAATAATCCTCTCAGATAAATATCCTTATCTCTTTTTTCCAAATGAGAAAAAAGAGGCTCAGAAAGGCTAAGTCTGAGCCATACTTCTATGGTTAGGAGGAGGCAGCACTGGGATTTGAACCCAGGCCTTGCCTGTTCTTCCCACGCTTCCAGTGGTTCCCAAACTTTGCTGCATATTAGAAACACTAGAGATCTTTGAAAAAATATGGAAGCCTGGGGGGTGCCTGGGTGGCTCAGTCGGTTGAGCATCCGACTCTTGATTTGGGCTCAGGTCGTGATCTCGGGGTCGTGAGATCAAGCTCCGTGTCAGGCTCCCCACTCAGCGGGGAGTCTGCTTCTCTCTCCCTCTCCCTCTGCCCCCCCCCCCCGCTCTTGCTCTCTCTCTCTGTCTTTAAAGTAAATAAATAAATCTTTAAAACAAATTTGGAAGACTGGATCCCGTGCCCAGGCATTCTCATTTAACTGGTCTGGGCTGTGGCCTGGGTGGGACGGCCGTTGACAGGTGTCTCCAAAGTGCGGTGAACTTCAGGAGCCCCCGCACTGTTCCCTGCGGCCTGAATCTCAGGCTCAGCTCACAGTCCTTGGGTTGGGCTAGGGGCTTCTGTGTCCGTAGCCTGCACTCCAGGACTGACACCACTGAGGGAGAGAAGAACACAGCGGAGTCTGATAAGGTGGAGATGCAGACCAAGGAGTTCCCTCCAGCAAAGGAAGGTGAGCCCCCGGCTAACCCATCTGCCCCTTGGACCGTGAGCCCCCGGCTAACCCATCTGCCCCTTGGACCCTGACTTCTCCCTGCGGCTGGCCTGGTTCTCTGCTTCTGGAGCTGCCCCGGGGACGCAGCATCAGGAAAGGTCTGTCAGAGGACCTGTAGCGGCTTCTCAACCCCTGCCCCTGCCCCTGCCCGCCTCTTAAGGAGGGTCCACAGAGGGGCATGGCTTCTGCGTCTTCTCTTTCTGTCCTTCTTTTCTCTCTCCTCGGCTCCTCGTACCTCCTCCCCGCTCCCTGCCTCCTTTCCCTGCAGCGTCTGTTCTGGGTCTTCGGTTATAAACATCACAAACCACTGCTGGCAAGGTAGAAGCGAGAACAGGATTCTGGGAAGCTCAGAGAACCAAGGGAAACATGAACTTGTCAGGCTCCGGGAAGAGGAGAACCCGGATGCCTCTGGGGACCCCCAGACTAACATCACAGCCGGTCTGCGATAGAACCGGTCAGCCCTGGGTGAGGAACAGGACAGCTAATTCACGGTCCCACCTGGACCATGAGAACTGAGGCAGGTCCCGGCTTCCAGAACAGACTCGGGATCCCGGTACGGAAAGCAGGGGAAGGGACGTGGGGCCGCTGGGACAGTAGCCGGCCGCCCCTCATACTCCCCTCTCCTCGAATGTCTGCGTTCTCTTCTCCTTGTCTTTCTCTTCACCGTCCTGGCCACGAAAGTGCTGGTACAGAAAGTGTCACTGAGTCCAAGCTGTGAAAGACAGACCGGGTTTCAGCAGGACAGAGGAGGACGTGGGCGGGTCACTGAGGGTCGTGGGGCCGGGATAACAAAGCTATAGAGGCGGGACGAGCTGGTTGCAGGCATCTGCAGTCCGGGAGGAAGAGGAGGTGAGTTCACTCCTTAGACGGTCCTGCCCACCCGCTCCCCTCCTTTCTTGTAATTCATGCCCAGGTGCTTCCTTCCTTCCCTGCAGAGACCCTGGAACCAGGGAGGAAGCAGGAGCACCGCTCTTTCTGGCGTTACGCCCTCTCCCAGCGCTTTGCCTGCCACCTGGTGTGGCTGTCTGTCATACAGCTGTGGCATTACCTCTTCATCGGCACCCTCAACTCGCTGCTCACCAACCTGGCCGGCGGGGACAGAGCGCTGGGTGCGTGGTGGGGGCTGGGCGCGGCCCCACCTGGCGGGAGGAAGTCTGAGCAGGGGTGTGGGGAGGAGGGACAGGCAGGCAAGGGCAGGCTGGGAGAGTCCTCTCCTGTAAGGCAGTGCTGGAGATGCTGTACCACCCAGCGCCTCTCTGCCCTCCGCAGTCAGCACCTACACAAATGCCTTCGCCATTACTCAGTTCTTCGGGGTGCTGTGTGCCCCCTGGAACGGCCTGCTCATGGACCGGCTCAAGCAGAAGTACCAGAAGGAAGCCAAAAACACAGGTGAGGCCTGGGCTGCAGAGGGTCGGGGAACCAGGAGGGGAGGCATCTTCATGCATGGCCAGAGCCACCTTCTCTTTTGTTCTTAATCCTTTTCTCCTTGCATCTATCCATCCATCCATCCATCCATCCATCCACTAGTCGGTGAGCGTCTGTTATGTGGCAGCCATAGTTCCAGATTCCACCATGGACTGGGCCAATAGGCCCTCATTCTCAGGCCGTCCTCAGTCTAGAGAATGAAGGGCAAGTAATCAGGTGTCACCATCCATGAAGTCAGCTCACAGGGGGTGATGGGGACGCAAAGAAGGGCACTTAGCCTATTCTGGGTGAGGATGGGCTTGATGTCCCGGAAGGCTTCCTGGAGGAAGTGGCTTCTAAGCCGAGGCCTGAAGGATGAGCAAGAAGAGAGGAGATGAAGAGGAGGGCCCTGGGAGAACAGCCCAGGAATACAGTGGGGTCAAGGTGATGAAGAGCAAGCAAAACCTTGAAGACTCCCCGAAAGGAACTTGAGCTGGCTGGGGCGCCCAGGAGAAGGGGCTGAATGGGGGAGAGGCGGGTGGCTGTGCTTAGGAGCATGGACACGACCCTTGGACGTGCCTGGAGGAACAGAGGGGCGCTGAGTTACCCCCCTTCCCCGGTGCTGCCCCTCCTACCCCTGCTGGGGTATTTTAGGACAAATTGCAGGCATCAGATCATTTCATCTGTAAATACTTCAGTCCGTGTCTCTCACAAATAAAACCATTTTTATTGAAACATCACCCTAATATCGTTATCATTAAACAAAACAGTAATTCCTTAACACCCTCTAACACGCAGTCCTGTCCAGATTTCCCAAAGTGTCTCAAATATGCCTTTTTCTAGTTGGTTTGTTCACATTAGGACGCACACAGGGTCTACGCCATTATTTCGTTGATGGCCTTACTCTTATCTTTTTCAATCTGTGCGTCCCCTCCCCTCCCCCCACGTTTTGTTTTTCTGGTTGTTTATTTGTTGAAGAAACTGGGTCTTTTGTTCTATCAGATTTCCTCCAGATTGGATTTGGCATCTTTTGGTATCACTTAGAAATGTTTTGCTGATTGGGTATTTCCTGTAAACAGGCAGATTGGAGGCTTGAGGAGATGCCGTTGAGTATTTTTTGGCGAGCAGGCTTGGGAGGTGGAGCTGCGGGCTTCCTCTGGCTCCTGGCGGCAGCCCCCCGCCGGTCCCGACTGTCCCTGTTCTCACGATGTTAGGATTGATCGGTGGGTCCAGACATTGTCAGTCTGATCCGCCCAGGACAGAGTTTCCCATCAGCTGCACGGGTAATGATTTTAGTAGCTATGGGTGATCACTGCCGGGATCCATTATTTTATTAGGATTGCAAAATGGAGATTTTCTATTTCTGTCTTTCCTTCTGCTTTTAATTGCTAGAGTTCCTCTAGAAAGAAAAGCTTTCCCTCATTGACTGCTTTGTACCCTGAAATAAGTGCTTGGTTTTTCCTATGTGTACCAGTTTCAGAATAACGACTTGGGTGCCCCAGCAACCTCTAGGGGGGGATGACTTGTCGTTTCTCTTTTATTTAAGTAATTGATTTACTTTTTAATGTCATTTCTCTTTTATTATTATTGTTTTTAAAGATTTATTTATTTATTTTAGAGAGGGGGAGAGTGCGGGAGCGTGGGGCGGGGTGGAGAGAAAGGAGAGAGAGAAAGGGAGAGGTAGAGAATCTCAAGCTTGACCCTGAGATCATGACCTGAGCTGAAACCAAAAGTTGGATGCTTAATTGACTGAGCCACCCAGGCGCCCCTAACGTAGCTTCTGTTTTTTTTTTTTTTTAAAGATTTTATTTATTT